TGTCAAGGGGCGCAATGAGGCAGCCTTCGGTAGCCTTTCTTTACCAATAGTGATCGACTCAGAAGGGAAACAACTCGAGGTGAAAAGGCCGCGGATAAGCCCACTCCATCCCTCTTGCTACCGACGATATCGACTGTATGGGAGGAGTCAGTTCTACAGAACTACCCTTTTATTGGTGCGCCATGCTGTCTTAGAGGACACATGCCAATGAAAAAGTTGTAACAATGGGTCCGACTCCACCTTCACAATCACCATTGACTGAGATTCTATTTTATTGGAAAATGAGGGAAACGATTTACCGGTCGTTCTGTACTTGCGCGGCTTTACCTCAATCTTTTAAAAAATTGACTAATCAAATAATGTAGGGGCTGTATTGATCCATAGCTTAATTGTGTCGTCGACGCTTCCTTTGGTATCTAATTTTAATTGTGAGAGGGGATAGGTTGCAATTTACCTCAGAACACTTTGCCCACAGTCGTCTCCAATGTCAGGTTGCTGCTTGCAGATATGTTGCTGTGACGGACAACAGTAACGCACTTCGCCTCCTGTTTGCAATACCTGGATCGAAGGAAACCATTATCAATGGGACGCCTGGAGAACGATTGAAAATTTTCATCAAATCAGCAAAAATACTCTAGTGAAACTAACCGATTTCAAGCATTCATGTTCGGAAGGGCACTGAGCGCTAGATTGACACTCGGCGATTTCCCCGTTAGAATGTCGATGAACCACTCCGCCACTGGGACACAAGAGCTCTGAAAGGAACAGCCAAGGTGGTCTACACAGGACAGAAAGTCTTGCTACAAATAGCTACAAGATACCTGGCCTAGAGCAATACTCCATGCACATTTGCTGTACAGGGAAGTTGTTCGCGTTTCCACCGCAGCCACGAAAGAGAAACGAACGGCAGGTGTTGCTGGCATCGTCGAAAAACCTTAACAGCACATTTTTTTCTTATGAACTTCCTTCCTTAGGGAACACTCTCACCATCGTAGCGATGTTGGCTGGTCGCATGATTTGCCCTCGTCAGCTCGCTGCGTGCATATGCTTTCTGAAACAGTGTTGTAATAAACCCTGAAGTTTTCTAGATTCGGTAGGCTCTAGAAGAGCTGCAGCGGATGGAGGACAATCCCGTTGACTTAGTAATTGCAATGTTTTGAATCCACTGGTGTTCTAAAAATGTTAAAGACAAACTGTATGCTCTCGGTTCCTGCCATGTGCAAGGTGAATGAGTCTGGGCTGTATTAGCGCTCAAAAATGAATGGGAACGGAGCAGGCCACTCCGGACTCCGCGCGCGCCATTCTCAAAGCGCAGCACGTGCGTCGATACCAAAATTGCGCAGCGAACATGCACTCAAAAGTGGTTCCTGTGCACTTTGAGCGGAGAAACAGGCACAGAAACAACAACAGAGCTCACCAGGTATCAAGAAATTTTGCCTCAATTTATTTCAATTCACCTCCAGGAAGCGTTTCAATACTGTAAACGAGTGCAAGTAGAAAGGATACTATGCGGAGGTTACGGGGCTGTTGTCAACCAGACGTGCTCTCGCTGCGAGGGTCAGGGTTATTTTCACGAGGCATCTACCAGTCCAGTAGTTGAAGGGAGAAGGTAAAGGAGGAGGGATCAGAGAAGGAAGGAAGGAAAAGAAGGAGGGAGGAAGAAAAAAGGAAAGAGAGGAGAGGCTTCTCGGTTGACAAGTGCCCTGATACGCTATGCGAAGAAACTGTATGTCCGTGGATTATGTGAGCAACTTACTTCAGTCTGTTCCGTGCGGCACAGCAAAGAGGCTGGCTTTAGCGCGGGGCCGATTCTTCACCAGTTGTGGAAGCTTTGGCAAGCGTGGTGTAACGGATAGCGCACTCGCCCGGAAAGCGTGAGGTGCGGGTTCGACTCCCGCCTGGGGCACGACTTTTGCCCACAACTCAGCATTCTTGTGATAACATTCGGAACGCGTACTGCGGCGTTAAACAGCAGTTATCATAACAAAACAGCTTCAAAAAGGAAGTGTTTCTTTAGATCGAATGTGCATCCCGTCCCCAAATGAGACTGAATCTAACAAGGAAGTTGTCAGCACCTTTCTTCCCACCGAGGCACTACATGATTTAGCCATTGCATTGTTGATAACGTCACAATAGCGGGCGCAGTGTCTAGTAGTGTTAAAATGAGCTCGCCGCTGATCTCGCTCGGTGGTCAGGAATTCGGTTAATATATTGCATGTACCTGCGGTGGGACAACACCCGTAAGCGGTTCCATCGAAATAACACTCGTAGTTTGTTGGGCACTCGTTCGAGTTGAGATGCATTGAACAGCGCTTGGACGCTATTCCATCCTTTAGCGATTCACCACGAGGGCAGCGCACCTCAGCTAAATTGGGGTGTACAAGAAAGAACAACAAAGAGCAAATAGGGTTGAACAATATTTTTACTTCTTCTCACCTTGAACGCCATCGCAAGCATGTTGGCAGCTCTCTATAGTCAAGAAATTGTTCGAGTTGCCTTGGCACCCTTCGAACAACGAAACGCTTGGCAGTTTGAAGATGAAGCATTATACCAGAATCGGTAGGAAGCTGAGGCATGACATTTGACTCCCTTCCTCAGAGGTAGATTGCATAGTTCAGCTATAACATTCGGAAGAGATGAGAAATTCGTTGAAGCTATCATATTCTAATCTACACGACGATTTTGCTTAAGTGAACAAACCCGGCTTCGGACAACATCTTCCATGGTAGCAAGTATGAGTCGGTGGACATTGATCAAAGGAGCTACAGGAAAGGAGTGTTCCGGACTGCGATCTCATTGGAAGACCAGCTGGACACATATCTAAACGGATCAGAAGACTGTGGAAATGGGGGGAGTGGGCGCGGAATGAATGGGACGCCATACCCAGGCGACAGGGAAGGCGTGGCTGCGCAGCTCCTTTTAACATAGCTCTGTGAGATGCTATCATTTTGGACAAGTGTCATAAAGCTTTGTGCCAAACAAAGACCACCAGAAAATATTGCTTGGAGCGCAGCCGCGCCCATGTTCAAATGAAACACGCAATCACCCCATCCCCGTCTCCCGGAGATGAAAAGTACTTGAAATGGGTGTGGAGTCTTACTTCCCAAACGTGGCGGAATAGACCTCGCAAGAGGCGTGACACACACTCAGCACCAGGGATAAATTCACTAAGCATGGCAGTGGCGCTGCGCGTTGACTGTACCTCCCAAGTCAACTCGTCTTGCGATGCGCGACTGGTAGTAACACTCCACGCACTCCACTCATCAAATGAGCGTAGGTAGGAAGCTTTCAAATTCAGCCCACGTTGTGAAAAAGGAGGAGAAGTTCTCGGCCATGAATTATGGAAAAAAACCGACGCAAATAGACGGACGTTGCCAAAACCGCGACTTAAACCGAACATTTGATATCGTTCGCAGTCAGACGGGGCGGTGGCAGTAGAGGCGGAATGAGCCTGTATCCTTCTGCTTTTCCACCAGTAGTGATTGGTTAATGATTGATTTGTGAAGAAAACAGCCAGTGGTTAGGTCAATGGTAAGCTCATTCCATCCACTTGACTTCCGTCCCGACTGCATTGCGACGAGACCAACCGTATGTGAATGTTAGGACTTTGCAGTCATGCGAATTGCGTATGCGGATCAAATTCGCTTACCTGCCGAACAGAACTGACTACAATGATCCTTCGTTTGGAAATTGTTGAAGTTCCCACCCTGTCCGAAGTAAGCGAACGGAAAGCACTCGTGTTTGTTGCGATCCCAGTACCATCTAAATGAAATTATGACGGTGTATTCAGCGCTGATCAAATGGACTGCGATAGGGAACGTCTCGAGCGCGCTCCGCTCTTTTACACTCCTCATCCTGAGCCAGAAAAGGCGTGGCATTTGAACATGGCACGGAATTGGTTACTCATGGAATATTCCAGTCTGGGACAACTGTCATCTTGTTCTTTGGACAGAGACACGACAACAATTGTGTCAAGATGAAGAATATCTCATCAGAAGCATAGACACCTTAGGTTGAGTTGAAGCATGCACCCACGCCCAGGCGATCTCAGGAATTTCGAGAATATCCACTATAGAAAGAGGAGAGCATGAATAATGGACCTAATACTTTGGGCTTTTGGTTCTCTGTCTCAGTCCATCATTTTATGGTTCAACATGCATAATTAGAAGCAAAGAAAAACAAATATTGGGGAAAGAAGTAGTAACACTTCAAAGTAGCAGAATCTCTTCCACTCTCAAACTGAACTTTGAGAGTGGAAGAGATTTTTCTCCGTTGTAGATCAGCAGAGGTTTTACTAAGTTTGACGTTCTGGTGAGCTATTTTGTGGTTTGCTGAATTTTTACCCACGTTTTTGTTGTGCAACGAATTTACTCCGAGTATTCTTCGATGATGCTAATAAAACGCGGTGGACGGGATGCCTTCTCTTAGCAATCAAGTTTATCAGTGCCAGCAGCAGTGTTTACACTGCTCTGATTTTGAAGATTTTTTCTGACATTTGGGTGTCGGAGCAAACTACTGGTCAGTGCTATCAAAGAAATCTAAGACCATGGAGGCAGAAAAAAGTGTTCATATAAATAAATATGAAAGAAGCCGATATGAAGGGTGGAATTATTCCGAGCGTCTTCAAGATTGTGGAACCTACTGCACTAGACAGATTGCCTGTTGCCGCTCATTGAAGAAATAAGGCACGATAATTTGGTTTTCTGTCCAAAATGCTAGCAGGGGTGCTATAGTGGGGGAAAAGGTGAAAAAGCGAAGTGAAGTAGTCAGAACCTGCGAAAAATGCCTTTGTTCTGTACGATTTAGAAAGCAATTTCGGACGAGTTTCTCCGTTGGCATCGTGCCAATAACCGCTACGGTAGATACGGCTGCATGTATGTACTCATATATTCACGCAGCACCGCAGCTGCTTTAGGCTGCGTTTATACTTTGCGGCAGCGTAGCGTAGCGCTTCCAGCGTTTCACTAGCGTTTCGCTAGCGTTTGCAGCGGCAGAGTATTTTGTACTTCCTACTCTTCTATACTCTCTAGCCCCGCCGCTGCAAACGCTAGCGAAACGCTAGTGAAACGCTCGTGAAACGCTGGAAGCGCTACGCTACGCTGCCGCAAAGTATAAACGCAGCCTTATATCAATCCCTTTGCTTCACATTGTATTTCGCAAATGGAGAGAAAAGGGCGTCAGCATCGGTCGGACATTTGTGGACGGGCGGACGCGATTGGCGTCTGCCTCGCTATGTTGCAGGATGATGGGCGCTCTAAGAGTACGTTCCTTGGATAAGGCGCACGCAGCGCCGAATTCTGTCCTGCTAGGCCTCTGATACTACACGTCTTGGGGATTTATCGTAGCACTTGCCGTTGAACATGAAACGGACCGCCATCTCCTAAAGCAACAAATGAGTGTTCTGTTTGCCAGAGCTGTGTCTTGCATTAGTTGACATCATCAGATTTGATGGTATGGAGTTGCCTTCGTCGATTAGGGAGCGTTTCTCCTCTCGCTCAATGTTCAGTGATGGTGACGGCAATAGAATCACACCTCGCCGAAGGAATCCTACCGCTTCGACATGATCAGCAACTTTTTATCTTGGTCGGACGACCTTTTTCAACGCCTGCCACACGGAGAATCCGCGTTCGTCCAACAACTCGCCCGCCATCATTTAGTCTAATAATGGTATTGACTTCGGCAGCAACGTCAATGCAAGTGTGGATATTATCGGCCTTGAAGCCGCGGTT